TTTCCTGGCCTTCCAGAGCGATTCGCCCAGCATGGCGTGCGCGACTTGGCCGTCTTGCCCTACCCTGCCATGTGGGCATGGGAACTGACAGGAGCTGCTTGGTATGAGGCGCCGAAGCCCTACAGGCACCCGAAAGGACCCATGAGCTGGATTCGTCTCGACGCTCAAGCGCTGCAGATGCCGGGCCGCCCGGCCTCTCCCCTAGCTCTGAAGGATAAGTCGCGAGGCAGGTCGCCAGTGCGCACAGCTCCCAAAGGAAAAGCAGCGGCTGCTCACACGTCCAAGCGATCGCGCGTGCCCATGGTAAAGGGAAGGGCCATGACGAGTCACGTCCTAAATCGCTGAAGGATGTTGTGGAGCTTGGTCCCAAAGCTTCCAAGGCGCTCGCAGCTTGGGAGAGTGATGCGGTTCGGCAGGCCGCCGCCGCATTGGCGAGCTTCCGCATGGATTACGCAGCGGGCGTGGCCACGGCGAAAGCTTTGTCGGCCGTCGTGAAGCAAGTCCCTGCGACCTTGCGAAAGGGCCAGCTGCCATTCAAGGTAGGCCGCGCACAGCTGCCAGACAATGTGGAAGACGTCTTGGATCGCTTAGCGAGCATTTTGAACCTCTCGCTGAAGTTTTGGGGAGAGCCGTGCATCGAGTTTTTGCGGAAAGAAGCCGTCGACGTTTTGCCCGCTAAGAAGCTTTCTCGCAAGAGACAGCTACACGGTCTGGCCGGGCCTGCGCGTGTCAGCAAGCCCCGTCGTGCTGACGACGGCGCCGGCGCCCTCTCAAACCTGGAGGCCGCTGGAAAGGACCGGCCCCGCGATCCTGCTGCTGTCACGAAGCTTCCCAAGCCGGACTGGACGCAACTTTGGCCTCTTGCCGAAATCGAGAAGTTCGAACAGATGGCAGCGGCACAAATTACCGCAGCAGACACTGCCGTGCTCACCGTGGACGCAAAGCTAGCCTTGACGGAAGGACTCCCACGTGAAGTCCGAGCGCTTGTGTGGGAACGGTGCGGGCTCCAGCCAACCGCGTCAGATATGATTCTGCGTGCGAATGCCAGCCGGCTGCGCGACCACACGCTCGCTATTGTGAAGGAGGCTCGCCTGGCTTGGGTCGAGACGGCCGTGCGAACGGATGCGATGTTGGCCAGATGGGAGGCGGCCACGACTCCCTGCCCGAAGAAGCCGCTGGAGCTTACCCTCAGCGACCAGGAAGACGCTAGTGTGGACGCTGCCGATGGCTCTCCATTCCAAACCTGGCCTGCCAAAGATGTGCGTTCCTTCAGTGCTGAACTGAATGATATGTTGTCGACCGTCGACGACGATCAGAAGGGCTTCTCCTTGGCCGCACTCATAGCGGTATTGGACAACGTTCCGGACGAAGTTCTCGAGATTGGCGGTCTACTCCAAGTGCGCAGCAATTTGAAGTGCATGCGCCGTTTACCGCGGCGCGACAAGCTGCTGGCGATCTTGGACTATATGCAGGATATCGCGGCGAAGGCAAGCAGCGTGCACTCTTTCGCTATTCAGCCCACCGCCTCGGAGGTCACCAAGCCGGCGGCTGAGGAAGAATCCCTGGACTATTCGCCGGACTTCCAGGACGACGACGCCGTGCACTCTCTCGCTATTCAGTCCACCACTACGAAGGTTTGCAAGCCGGCGGCTGAAGAAGAATCCCTGGACTATTCGCCGGACTTCCAGGACGACGACGCATAGCTGGAGAGTGCCCTTGCAAGCAAACTTCTTCTCGGCTCAAGAGGTTTTTTGAAGAATCCTGCGAAGACTTTGCAATGCGCGCAGGACTGTTCGTTGAGCTTCCGTGACAACGAGGCATAGATGGAGAGTGTCATACTGGCAAACTCCTTCTCGGCTCGTGAGTTTTTGAAGAATCTTGCGGAGAACCTGTATGCGGAATGTCCAAAACAGGCCCGGGATGCTTCCTGCATGGTTGGTGCAAGCTGCAATATGACAGGTACTGCGACTAGTATTGGTACTAGTATTATTACTACTACTACACCTACGACTACCATACTACTGCTACTACTCCGGCTGCTACTCAGGCTAGAACTACTACTACTACTACTACTACTACTACTACTACTACTACTACTACTACTACTACTACTACTACTACTACTACTACTACTACTACTACTACTACTACTACTACTACTACTACTACTACTACTACTACTACTACTACTACTACTACTACTACTACTACTACTACTACTACTACTACTACTACTACTACTACTACTACTACTACTACTACTACTACTACTACTACTACTACTACTACTACTACTACTACTACTACTACTACTACTAATACTAATACTAATATTACTGCTCTACTACTATGCTACTACTCCGGCTACCACTACGAGGAAGCTAAGTCGTAGCAGTCGTAGTAGTAGTAGTAGTAGTAGTAGTAGTAGTAGTAGTAGTAGTAGTAGTAGTAGCAGTAGAAGTAGTAGTAGTAGTAGTAGTAGTAGTAGTAGTAGTAGTAGTAGTAGTAGTAGTAGTAGTAGTAGTAGTAGTAGTAGTAGTAGTAGTAGTAGTAGTAGTAATAGCAGTCGTGGTGATGACGAGGCTACTACTACTACTACCAGTCATGTACTCCTGCTGCGCTCGGCAGCCGTTTTGCCTTCAGTGCGCTCCTGGGCTTTGCGCCTTCGTGCTTTTTCGGCATGGTCAACCGCGGCCGTGGTCAGTCCGGCAAAGGGCGTGGCTCGGCTGGCAGCAAGCCACAACACCGCCCTGACGCTGGCGATCGCCTGCCAAAGTTCGCTTTGGCTCCTTATGCAGGCAATGGTGGCTCGCCCTTCTTCTTGCCGAAGGATGTGGACGAGAAGACTTTGCTCAGCAGCAAGAACATCGCTGCAACGCGCTCCCCGCGGAACAGCGAGGCCGCATGCCTTCGCCTGGGGGTTGCCTTGTCGGAATCTGCGGCCGTGACGGAAATGGGCGCCGAGGCCTTGTCCTTGTACAGCGGTGACGAGCCGAAGGTGTTCGGCATGGGCTTTGGCACTCTGGCAGGATGGTTCACGTCCAGGGAAGGTGCGGCCTTCCTTACAGCTGCGGCCGCGCTGAACAAGAGCAACGGCATTCCGGACCAGGAGTCCGATGTCGAGGCCGCCGTCCGGGAGTGGCTACTCGGGCTACGCAAACTGACCGCCTTGGAGAAAGAGGTGCGGCGGGTAGCGCAAGTCAGCGCACGCACGTATCTCTGGGCTATGGACACGCTGGAGCAGCTGGCGATAGTCAACTGCCCAAAGAAAGTCTTTGCTCAGGTCGACGAGGACAATCCGCTTCGAGCTATCAAGGCCATTGACTCTCTGTTGCGCAAGCCGTCCGATTCGAAAAGCTTGCGCAAGGCCATGGTGGCTGCATATATGAAGCAAATTTGTCAAAGCGACCGCAAGAAAGCCGGCGCGCGCCCCTTGGACGCAGATACGAGCCCGGAAGAGCGCGATTCCAGTGCGACTACTTCCGCTACTTCCTCCTCGTCCGCGCCGCCCAGCAAGAAGCGAGGTCCGAAGCGCCGCAGGCCCAAAAGTGCGGGTGCCCGCCGTTGCAAGAAGGTCGCAGCCAGGAAGGACAAGAAGCAGAAGGCCGCCAGCTCCGAGAGCTCCCCCTCGAAGGCTCCCAAGAAGATGCACCCGGCAGCTTTGACTTGCGGCTCCAGCGACGAGGCCACCTCGTCTCAGCCGGATGAAGCGACGCTGCTGCAAGCTTGGACGCTTGACAAGCAGATGCTCTTCGCCGACGGTCTTGCGAATGCTTGGTCCTCCAAGGACAAGCCGAAGGCTTCGGGGCAGCGCCTCTCGCTGCCGGTACTGCTTGCTGTTTTGGAGAACGTCCCGGCCAAGATTCTTCAAGCGTCTGGTCTGGAAGACGTCCATGAAGCCCTCAAAGACATGACTCGTTTGCCTAAGCAAGAAAAGCTAAAGGAGATCTTGAATCGATTGCAGGCCTTGCGTGAGAAGCTCCACCTTCCCGATGCACCGACTCGCATGTCTCCGGCAGAGGCGCCGACTTCGGCAGTCGTCGTGGCGGAGCCTGTGGAGGCGGCAGACGTAGATGGTTGAAACCAAGATAGTCAACTCCATGCTCGGCATGCAGGAGGACGCCTCGGGTGCATGGTCGAGCAGCCGTCGTCTTCGCTGGATGGAGTAAGCGCGGTAGAGCCACAGATTTTTGAAACGAGGTCGACTGACTGCTTTGCCCCTGCCAAAAAGACAGCACTTTGCGGTTGCCAAAAACACTAGTCCTAAGTTTCTAGATGTGCTGCTGCTAGTCGTACTCGTTCTACCGGTTACCGCTCTTCCCAGCGCCACGACGACTGCTACTATGACGATAGTGCTACGGCTGCTGCCACTACTACGACTACTTTTACTACTACTACTACTACTACTACTACTACTACTACTACTACTACTACTACTACTACTACTACTACTACTACTACTACTACTACTACTACTACTACTACTACTACTATTACTACTAGTACTGCTACTGCTACTGCTACTGCTACTGCTACTGCTACACTACAAGTGCACGGACGCTCGGAAGAACGACCACTGCTACTACTACCGGTAGTGCTACTGCTGCTGCTGTTGCTGAAACAATAACTGCTACTACTGCTACTACTACTACTACTACTACTACTACTACTACTACTACTACTACTACTACTACTACTACTACTACTACTTCTACTACTACTACTACTACTACTACTACTACTGCTACTTCTACTCCTGCTACTCCCACTACTCCCGCTACTACTAATGTTGCTACTGCTTCTGCGCCCGCTGTCGCTGCGGCTGCTCCTTGCGCTATTTACACTACAACTGGACGGGCACTAGTCGCAGCTTTCGCAGTATGGCTTGTGCTGTGTGAGCGTTGTTTGCGCTCTGCTTGGGTATTTGTATTCGCGCAGCTTTTGGCTCTTCTGTTGACTGTCGTAGCCAATCCCCCTGGACAACTTCGTGCGCAGGAAGCATGTCCAAGCGCCCTGCTTCTGTCGAAGCTGCTGCTGCTGCCTCCGCCTGGCCGCGACGGCGTCGGGTGGCAGACGCTTCTGGGCAGCCTGCTGCCCTGCCTGCGGCCGAACACGGTTCCGCGTCCAATTCGGTGCGGCGACCTGCTTCGGCAGGTATCCCACACCTCTGCCGCGGGCTGCCTGGGGAGCCCTGCTGCTTCTCCGTTTCGGTCGCTGGACAGCCAGCTCGTTACCATGATGCATCACGGCAATGTCCTTGGTGCAACAATGTCCTGCTTCAGGAAAGCTTCGGCACCGAGCGTGGCTGCGGCAACCTCAGTCGCTCTTTGCGATTCTTCTGGCAGCAAGACAAATCTGTTTACCACAAGGCTGTCGGACGCTTGCCTCAGGCGCTGCGTTTGCACTGGCCACTGAAGGCTCTCGGACTCTCGCCTGCTTTCCATTCCGTCGCAAGCCTACAAGCAACCCTGGCGACCCCGCACGGCCGAGGACGCGTCCTTGCCATGCTTCGCAAGCGTCAAGCCACGGACCGAGACCTGGTCTCCGAGGCTTTGAAGGCGCTCCCAGCAGAGTACCTCGAAGACTTCGAAACGAAGCTTGCGCAGGAGCCCCGACGCGCACGTCAAGCGCGGCAGCGGGCCGCGGCCGAGACTGTGGAGCAGCGCTGGGAGCGACTGCTGGCTCGGAGGCGACGCCTGCGTGTGCCGTCGCGGCCCGACGAAGAAGCCGCCGTGTACGGCCGCCGGGCGGCGGAAGACCGTGTGCGTGTGCGCCGGAAGTTCTTTCCCGCACAGCCGAAAGAAGTGCGCCACACCGGTCGGCAGTGGTCCAACCCCTGGACGGACGCAGCGGCGGAACGCGTTCGAGACGTTGCCGACAACGACACCGGCCTTCCTCGTGCAGCCACTACTCCGTTGGCAACCATGCTGGAGGACTGGTGTAAGCAAGGAGCTTGGGCTATTTGCGAAAGATGCTTTTCTTTGGAGCCGCGGCATCTCAAAGAAGTTGACACGCGCCGCGTGGCCGATCCGGCCGTGCCCAACTGTCGGTGGTGTCGCCGCGACGGCGTGGAGTCGGTGCCCACCGTTGACCGGGTGCCACGGCAGCTGCAGGGTCTCTGCCATCATGTGGTGGCTGCCCTTCCACCCTTCGACATCGATTGTGGACCGTATCAACGTCCACCTCACGGATATCGTGTGCACACCGCCTTGCTGCGCTTGCTTTGGTCCGACACGGATGTGGAAGCGAAAATTGCTGCGCTCGAGCACCGGACGTGGCGAACGAAGGCGAAGAAAGCTTTCAAGTTCTTGATGCAACACTCGTGTTCCGAGTATAGGAACTTTGTGACACAGCACCGTCGTTTCCTTCGAGACCATCCGATGCCGACGGACGCAGCTCGTCGCCGCCCGCTGCAGACGCTGGAAACTCCTGGTATAGAAACCGCCCTGTGGCCAGACCTGTACTACAACTCCGACTTGTGCGAGTCTGTGGAAAGGGCGACGGATGCCCGACGACTCCAGCGCCAGGGTCTGCTCCACGAAGACAGCGACGACGACGACCCAGAGCGTGAAGACGACCCCGGCCGCGGTAGCCTCCGCCGCAGTTTTCTGAAGAAGGTTTTGGGGCCGATCTTGGATTACGCCGGAGAGTACGAACTGCTGCAATACGTATTCGACTTAGCCTTCTGGAGTGACTTCGGCAGCAAGCGGCACGTGCAGCCCCACCTGCCCATGCGTATTTTGCTCAAGGGCTCGCCCTTCACGCCGGCGTATTGGGCCGTGCGGCATGCTGCCGTTATCGACTTGCAACGGCAATGCGGCTACCCATTCCTCTTCAAAACATGGGCACCATACGAATGGAGCGCACCTTATCACAAGGCCTTGCTCCATCAGATGCGCCACTTGCTTCGTTCCAGGCTACACCTGGAGGGACCGGAGACGCTGCATCTTGCCCACATCCTTTTGGAGCTCCTGCGCGAGTGGGTAGCAGGAGGCAGTCGAAAGCACGGCGAAAGCAGCAGGCTCTGGCAAAAGCATCTCCTGTGCGGCGGTCGTCGCATCAACTTCACGCAGTCCTCTTCGTGGAAAAGCCAGCTGCGGTACGGTTGCACGAGAAGTTGCACGCAACCGAGCCACCTGAAGGCCACCCACTCCGCGGGTATGTCCTGGACCAGCTGAGCTACAGTGGCAGCGGCTGGCCGGTGCACGAAGCGCCCTCCTGTTGGGACACTGTTGATGAAGTCGTGCATCTGCACCACACGGAGCAGGACGCAGAGCAGGGTGTCCGAGCGTACGGGCTGGAGGAGGTGGATATACTGAAAGGCCACGTGGACAACATAGCACCGCAAGCGGCAGGATCCGGCGGTCGCGGGCTGCTCATGCGGTATGTTGCCACTTATAATGTCAAGTTCAGCAACAGCTTCCACAACGAGATGCTGGCCGACACCGGCGTCTCCGGATATGGGATGGCCCTCCGCATCCTGAGCACGCTGCATCCGTCCGAACCCGAAATGTGGGTGACCTTGTTCAAGCAGCTGTTTCCAGATTTCGCACTGGGAGGCACCATGCTGCCAATCGTAGCACCCTGGCCGACGATGGACGCGCAGCCGGAGTTCGTGCGCCGGTACGAGCAATGTGTGTGGCGAAGTGACAACATGTCGCTCCTGGAGTATCTTCGGAAATCCAATGCTGCTGGAGAGGTGGTCGCTTGGATCCAAAAGCTCCATGCCGCTGCTGACTCGGCACTGGACTTGGGTGAGTTCGCGAGTGTGCAGACGACGTTCGGTGAGAAGGTTGTGGCAGCGGAAACAGTGAGCATTTTCAGCGACAAGTATTTCGGTCAGTGGCTGATGCTGCATGTGCCTTTCCGCAGCGCCGCAGCGTTCTTGTTCCCCGACATCGTCGCGAAGATCCCTACGCGCTATCAGCTCTTTGCTTGCGCCTTGCGCGCCGCTGGAGATTACTGGACGGACAAAGCACGGGTGCGGGAGGACATGCAACTGGCCGCTCACAAGGACGCGACTATAGCTAGCTTCCTCGCTCTGCTGGATGCTCAGCGTGAGATCGTGGAACAATACCTACGTGGCGACATCTCGCTCGAAGACGAAGTGCCCGAGCCAGCCTTGCCTTCGCTGCCGGGCGCCGCCGGCCTGGAGCGGCCCCGCTTCAACCGTCAGCAGCAAGCCTTGGAGCGGTGCGCGCTGGAACGCTTGGATTTGATTCAAGCTTTGAAGGACGCCCAGACACCGGAGGAGGCCGATGATGTGGCTTTGCGCCTCGAAGAGCAGAACAGCGTCTTGGTGTGCATGGGCGGCCCTGGCACGGGCAAGACGTTCGTCGCCGACTACCTCGTCCGCGTGGCTGTGCGGCGGGGCCACCGCGTGCTCTACGCGCTGCCGACGGGACAGCTGGCCTGCCGCATGCGCCAGCGCCACCCCGACATTCACGTCGACACTTGCGCCGGCGCCTTCCTGTTCTACCGGCCAGAATCTGAAACCCTTGCTCTCATGGCCGAGTACGATATGGTGGTCATCGACGAAGCCTTGCAACTCAGCGCGGAGGAGTATGGGCGCCTGCATGCCATGTTCTGCGCGACGGGCAAGCAGCTTCTCTTGCTGCTTATGGGCGATGACTGCCAACTTCCGAGCATCCATCCGCAGCAGGCCTGCGATCACGCACAATGGCGCTTTACGCACGTGGTGACCTTGACCGAGGTACGGCGTTGCAAGTGCGCCGTGTTGCAGGCCAAGCTGGATTTCCTGCGTCATCACAAGCCGCTCGGCCAGGAAGGCAAGCGCTTCGTCAATCGCTTGTGCTACCGGCACAAGGCCTGGACCGGTCACGACGAGCCTACGAGCCTTGACATTGATTCCGTCTTCAAGCGCACCGGCGGAAAGACGACTTTTGTTACCTGCACCAAGAGGGGAGCCGCAAGCATCAATGCCCTGGCCGTACAAGTTCTCTTTTCCAACCGGAAGCAGCAGCTTTTGGCTGAGATTCCGGGCGACTTTGACGACAATGAAGAGAACTTCGACGAATACGGCAACCTTCGTCGCGATCGTGCCCCGCTGCCGAACCCAGTCCGGCTGTACAGAGGCCTCAGGGTTGTCTTGACTCGCAATCGAGACAAAGAGAACCATTACGTTAATGGCATGGTGGCCACGGTGGAAGGCTACTTTCCGACCACCGGCTGCCTACGCGTCCGCACACAAACAGGCAGGCGACTGGCCATTTATCGTTACACGGACACGGACGTTCCTTGCGGGCGTGCCGTCTACTTCCCGATCCGCACAGGCTACGCGGGCACCATCTACAAATTCCAAGGTGCGGAACTGGAGCATGTCACACTTTGGCTCAACCGCCGGTGGTGCCGCGCCGCAGCGTATGTAGCCCTATCGCGGGTTGCCAGGGATGAGGATTACCTTATAGGTGGGGTCGTCAGCGCCGACCACTTGATCCCCGCGAAGTGAAGTACTTCTCCTTCCTGCGAAGCCACGCAAGATTCATGTGGGGCCTTTCCGCCGGTTGCTCCGCATGGCTGCGATGAACTGGCCATTCGCCTCAGATCGCGATGCGTGCGTGACTCTGAAGCAAAAAACGTTCTGGAGCCGACGCGACCCTCCTGCTGTTGAATATATCTTTATACAGTTTTAGCCTGCGTCCTGCAAGAACTGTATATTTTTGCGATCTAACGCTCAGGGCTTAAAGGGCTTGGGACAGGCGTGGAAGCAGCCCTGACTGCTTCACCTCTGTAAATAAGAGGCCCTGCCCTGTTCCCTACCTAGATCTTGGCCCACTGAACCCCGTCATGAATCGACACAGATCAGCAAGGAATCTTGCCTAAGCGCGTAAGACTTTATATAATTTCTATAGTGTAAATGGAGCCACAACGGCTTTCAATGTGAAGAGCCACAGTGGAGGCGTGCTCTGCCCTCCTATTTTGTTTGGGGGTTGTAAAGAAGAAAGGGCGCTGCAAAACGTGGCCTTCCCTTGTCAACCCGAGCACACCACGGCAGGCCCACACCAGGGGCTGTCTCTAAGCCCCCTTGACACCGCCGCGGCGCCCCGGGCGACCACACCGGGAGGCCCAAGAAATAGCTTTTACCAGCTCTGACTCTGGAAATTTCAAGTCAGGTCATTCTCAAAATAAAACCCCGCCGCGTTCAAAGATTGCCCGTGCGAATAAAACGAAAACCTATTCCTTAGTCTTGCACACCCAGCTGCCCAACAAGATATTTTTGCTTATGACACGCACGTATGTGAAAGTAAGTTTCCCCGGTGTGTGTAGCATCATCAACAGAAGTTACCAGCACGGGCTGTTCGACGCTTGCATCCCATTCACTAGTTCGTTCCTGTTCGCTTGTTAGATCCCGTGTCGAAAGTTTATGGCTCAAGCCAATGATTTTTTCCATCGTTCTGATACTGTCAAGACAGCAAACTGATGTAGTATTGCACCCATTTCTGCACGATCGAGATCAATTAAACAACGTAAATGTACAGTATGTGTACATTTAGTGCTGTTTCACCCTAATTGACCGAGTATCACGCAGCTAGGGTAGCTGTGTGATACTTCGAACGACGAGAAAAACAAAAAGACCTTAAACCTTAAATCCTTAAGACACCATTATATAAATAGATAATATATCGCAGGATATATACGTTGCAGAAGAAAGATTTAGGTAGATCAGAGATCGGTCCGAGTTAAACTTGGAACGAGCCCTACATCTGGGCATCGATCGAGGCCAGATCGTTTGTTCATCAGATGCACACATGCAGGACATGTGCCAGCAGACTGCTTGAATGCACGCCACGGTCTGCAACGAATGCCACAGGGTTTTTGATCGAGCACCGGCCGGCCAGATGCATGCATGTTAAATCGAATGCATAGGTACTAGTACTGCAACGACGTATGGAGGAGACATTATCCAGAACATAGCTAGCCATGCCCTCCTTTGCTGCTGAGAAAACTCGCAGGGAGAAGGTTGAGAAACTGGCTGAGTTGATCTGGGAGAAGGTATGCCAGCCTCGTTTGCCTGAAATCCGTGATACAGGGGTATTGACGCCCACTAATACCCTTCGGCATCGTGCGACGAGAGAGCTCCTGAGTTGGGCTAGCCAGCTAGGCTCAGGGAGGTGGTTTACCGCTGGCATGGTCAAGGCTGCATTGGTCAAAGTTGTGGATAACCATGATCTCCAGATCCCCGAGAACACCCCTGGCTTTAGTTGGGAAAACTGGTACACCACCACTTCAAATACATTGTCGACTTTGTTATCGAAGGCCAAAAGAAGTACTGTTGGATCCGACCCCCAAGCAGACGACGCCATGGACGACGGTGAGACGCAGCCTTGGGAGCTAGATCCCACGGAGGACTGCACTATAGTATAGCTAGCAACCACGTTGATCGATTATACTATTGGTGTTCACTTCGATGCCCGGGCAGGACGCGCAGGTGCCAATGATGAACAAGAGATCTTCCAGTGACTTGAGTGTGTCTTGCCTCCGATTTACAGTTGGAATGCTACCAAACATCCACATACAATCCAACCAATAATTTATACTAAGGCTGCTGGTGCAGATGAACTCCAACCAGCGAAACGCCTGCGTTTACGTGCGAAGACGCAACCGGGAGAGCATTATACCTTATAAACTTGTGCTGGGCCACGAGTTTTTTTATCACCATGCACTATAAACCCTAAACCCTTAAACCCCCTAAACAAATCGAATTAAAGCCCGCCATCGATCTGAGGCCGAGCCAGCTTTGCATTCCTGATGTTGGAGAAGCTGCTCCGTTCAATACAGATACTATCAGGTGGGAGATTCGGGCAGTGAGTTAAATAGTGTTCTTTCGGTTGTTGTGTATAGCTGAGGATGAGGATCCGGCAGAGGAAGGGAACGATGAAACTTATGGTGATCATGGTGATTATGATTATGATCCAGCTGGCGGGGCTGCTCCTGCTCCCAAGGTTGCTTTGGACAGAACGGTAGATCGTGCAGTTTATGATCTGTGCATGTTTGTGATTAAAGTGAAATTACGATCTTTTCGATATCTAAGGAGGGCGAGAGTGAGTTGCCCCAGGTGACCTGGCCCGGAGCGCAGTGCTAGCGAAGTGTACGTGCACTAGCCTTTCAGTTGCGCAGTCTTGATAAATCTGAGGCGAGTGGCCCGGATTGGCAGGCGAAGTACTATGCCCAGGACCCGTAATTGGAAATTCAAATTCCTTAAATCATACATTCCTATATATATTGAAAGCCCTGTACCCTGGCCATGAGTAGTTAATTATTCCATCCCAGTTCTGAGTCATTAGAAAGATGCTGGTACTGTAACCCTATACAGATCTCTGTTATATTCTGCAGGATGGCAGTGACGTTGATTGGGAGGCAGCCCATGAGGGGCATGTGAAATGGTGCCAAGCAGCCGGCGTGAATCCAGAAGTCACGGAGGAAGAGCCGGAGACAGAGCCTGTTGCGGAGATCGGCAGCAGGTGCGGTTCTTGTCACTGGCTCGACGGTGACGGGAACTGGCATGTCGGGGACGTGCCAGAAGATGAACAGTGGGATGAGGCCGACGAGGCTGCGAAGGACGAAGCCGATGAGAATGATGAAGAATGGCTGGAGGATGAGCAGCAAGACGCTGCTCACGATGGTGAAGACCAGCTCGAGCATTGGGCGCCCGATGCTGAGGAGCCGTGGGAAACTGCCGAGGATGGCGAGCAGTGGGAGGAGCAGTGCGAAGATGACGATGCCGGGCAAGACGGGCAGTGGGAAGCCGTCAATGATGACGGCGATGGGGAGTGGGAAGAGAACGATGACGAGCCCAACGGGCAGTGCGAAGCTGCTGCCGAGAATGGCGAGCAGTGGGAAGCTGCTGCCGAGAATGGCGAGCAGTGGGAAGCTGCTGCCGAGAATGACGAGCAGTGGGATGAAGCCGATGGTGGTGTAGGTCATGATCATGAGCAGTGGGAAGCTGCCGAGAATGATGACGAGCCCGAGCAAGACGGGCAGTGGGAAGGCAGCGCGGAGGCTCACGAGGGGCTGTGGCCTGCCGATGATGAAGGCCCGAGTGCCAAAGAGCAGCAGCATGAAGACGAAGAGTGGCAGGCGCCTGCTGGTGATCACGCTGTTGCAACGTTGGCCGAGAAGCCCACGGATTGGGTGAATTGGCCGAAGGCACCAGCCACCAATGTGACCCAGGACTACCCCTCGAAAGCCGAAGTGGAACGCCTCGATGCTTGGTGGTCCCGATATAAGGTCAAGGAGCCGTAGTTAACGAACTCTATAAGTGTATTCGCACTATCCAAAGCTCCATATATTTCAGTTGCTTCGAACTCTCGTGCATGCAGGAGCCCACCACCGCCGACGAGAAGGAGGAGATTACGAGCCCGGACCTGCCAACGAGCCTCGAGGAGAGTTGTCATGCCAATATTATTCGTGGCTTCACACAGACATGTAAGTATATAGCAAAAATAGCGAACCAAGAAAACTAGATAGCTAGATATACGCAAATCATAAAAACCAAGGTGGGTTAAAGTAATTGATAGAAATTTGTAGGCTATAATGAAATAAACAACAATAAAGAATTAACGCACACATACATGCGTATGCACATACACAAATGTGAGTGTAAATAGATATATACAGAAACTACATTCATACACACATAGTACATACGTACATACATACACATACATACATACATACATACATACATACATACATACATATATATATATACATACAAATGTAAACATTAAAGTACGAATGTGTATGAGCTTTGTATATATTTAACTTACACATGAATTTAAGTGGTGTATATATACATAAAGATATAGACAGGTCTATTGTTCCCATCCATTGGTAGATGGGCAGAATAATCTAGAGTTATGGGACCCCGCCCGATTGTAAGGAGAAGCCGCTTGAACCGATAGCAAATTGGTTCATGAAATGCAATAAACCGCCCAGCTAGTATACGTGTAAAGTACTCGTTGTAAGTTCTGCCACAACCTAGATATATAGCCCTGCACAGGACATGGCGTCGTGGCTTGATGCGGCCACCGATACGGAGAAGATCCGAATTTGTAACCAGCTTGTCGACTCTCGGCTTTATTGTTACACAGAGATGTGCATCAAGATTGAAACCCACATGGCTTGCAGAGTCGACTACGCTTAGGCTGCAACGTTCACGAAGTCGAAGCCGAATGGCCCCGCTGCAGTCGCGACCACCCCGTCTATAGCTGAGTATATACCTCGATCAACCCCACTAATTTATCGACCCCACAGCAAACCTCACCAGGTGCCCGAAGAGTGCCGATGCGTCTCGCGAGGAGGCTTCGAGGGTTGATCGTGCATCCGGTCGTTGTGTGTTTGTGCACGCAGCTTTAAAGCTACAACCTCGAGATACCTATGATTCAAGCTTGAACGTCGCTCTCAAAGATAGATCTTCCTAGATCCTGGGTTTTGTATTTTGTCCTATAAGCCTAAGCTACAAGGACCCCAGTGTATACTCTGTATTTCATGGCAGGGCTTAGGCTTCGAAAGCAGTCTGTAATTCATGGCCCAGCCGCAATCTCGAGCTTGCAGGCCGCGACACGTGGCAAGGCCGATCGCACCCGTGACCTCAAGGGTCCTGCAGTGGCTTTGACTTGAGATAAAATATACGCCAATATAGAAGGTATACTTGTTGTAAGTAATGGGGTCGCCTAGATATAGGAAGCTGCAGTGATACAGTACTGTCTCATGCATGCAAACAAGCTAGCCAGCTCAGGCATTCGAGATCCCAGCAGCAACGATTGGATTGAAAGATGTACCGCAAAAGGTTATGCAAGCAGCCCTAGGTGGGAAGCACAAACCGGTTATTCCCCACTGCCAAAGGCTTTTGGTTGCAGCAGCCAAACAGCCGGAGATTCCGAATGAAGAAGCAGAAGCTACTGAGAAGGATGCCAAGCCAAAGCCAGTGCCCAAATCCAAGGCTTCTGCGAAGCCTAAGGCAGGTGCAACGAAGGGTAAGAAAAAGGGCACCAGACCGCCATATGCAGATACGGAATACAACATCCAGAGAAAGGCGTTCTTTGCCACGTTCCTCATCTGAATATAGTGGAACCACTTATAATCCTTAGGTGCTCTAGCCCGGGTACCACTACATACACGATCCCAGGCTTCCCAAGATGCCGCAGGCCGAGCGACAGCGCAGGCAAGGAATTCAAGACGGCTTCTGGTATTTAGCGGGGTTGTAGTGCTTCAACTGGTAAATCGAGACTAGTTCTCCTGGTCTTGGTTACTTAGTTGTGGATTGACTGAATGGAATAATTGTAGCCTGGTCTAAACTTAATGGGGTTGCTTCGCTTCGGGCGCTGGATATAGCTGGGTTATAATTGTATGTTGCTGGTGTAAGAAACACGTATGGTTTTGGGTTTGATTCCAGAAATGGCAACATATTAGCAAACATAATATGGCTAACGCTAGCAATACAAACACCTTCGAAATCAGCAGTACAATATCGGAATAACCCGTACAGTTATGATTGTTCTTATTCGTCGTTAATTAGTGTTCAGATTCTGTGTTGAGCATATGAGGACCCATTATTTCGGGGGTATTGTTGTTAGTTGAAATATATGGGACGTTTATTAGTGAATGAAAGTGGGGCTAGTGTTCCGGTGTTGCCTGATCTAGCGCATTCATGGGCTTGATGCCGTAATGGTCTGGGTTGCTAGGCCTTCCCGACGTTTAGAACTCTGCGGTGTATTAGATCACTATCTTGCTATTAATTCGCCTTGACCCTAACCCAAAACTATATGGTTGCCCATGCAGACACACTGTCCTCGATCGAGCACTATGTCATCCATCAGATCGGCAATCCTTGCAGTATAAGCGAGAGTGCAGAGAGAGAGGGAGAGAGAGAGAGAGAGAGATTCCATGCGCATATTCATCTAAGCTTATATGAGAGCATAGAACACACATGTATGTATATATATATATATACATATATATTTATATTTATGCACTTTAAAAAGCGAGCGGGCTCATGTAGAGACTGCGGCACTTGTACTGTCAAGCTGGTTTATGATGGAGAATCAATATCTAGCTATCGACGGATGGTAGTCATTTCCCATCAAACATAGATCGGAGTTTGAGACACTGCTATATAGGGCCGGTGGAGAGACAAAGAGAGAGAAAGAGAAAGAGAGAGAGAGAGAGAGAGAGAGAGAGAGAGAGAGAGAGAGAGAGAGAGAGAGAGAGAGAGAGAGAGAGAGAGAGAGAGATGAGATCGAGGGATAGAGACAGAGAGAAATAGAGTCACTCGGGAGAGTCTGTGAGAGAGAGAGTCAGGGAGACAGCGAGAGAGAGACAGAGAGAGAGAGAGAGAGTGAGTGAGTGAGTGAGTGAGTGAGTGTGAGTGTGAGTGAGTGAGTGTGAGAGAGAGAGAGAGAGAGAGAGAGAGAGAGAGAGAGAGAGAGAGAGAGAGAGAGAGAGAGAGAGAGAGAGAGAGAGAGAGAGAGAGAGAGAGAGAGAGAGAGGAGAGAGAGAGAGAGAGAGAGGAGAGAGAGAGAGAGAGAGAGAGAGAGAGAGAGAGAGAGACGAGAGAGAGACGAGAGAGAGAGAGAGAGAGCAAGAGAGAGAGAGAGAGAGAGAGAGAGAGAGCGAGAGCGAGAACGAGTGCGGGAACAAAAAGACTACGCTACTTGTGGTGAACAAGGCCAACGGTAACACCCAAAACGTGAGAGCAAGAATGCATTGGCGAATGCGCCCACATGCATGCATGCGACGTGATGCCACAATCTGTAATGATTTCGAATGATGGACGGACTATCTCCGAGTATCGTGGACCCTATGTCTACGAACCGTTGACGTTTGAGAGCATGAGTCCATATTGTGGCGGTCCAGCGATCTGCAAGTTCATGGATGGATGCGATCGCGATCGGACGAGCTAACATGTGCATGGCGGCTTGCTTGTTATGGGGCAATTATCGTGATCTTTATAAAGAGGTGTTTGTTTCCAATAGGGTCCATTTGGTTCATTGCGCGATCTACATATAGGGGTTTCGCTTCGATATATAATAGGGTCCATGGTTGATTGCATGGAGTAATGTACTTTCGGCAACAGTCTACACTTTTATCTGACGGGTGCTGGACTTCCATTCAATACCCTTGAAAACAACCTTTACATCCCGAATTAATCCCGCGTGTTCAGGTGCATGGTCGGCGTATCACAGGTTTACGGTAAATTCCTGCACACAGCGTCGGTGTTAATGTGGATTGAAATTGTTCTGATTGTTCTGGATATACTCGTATATGAACACCTTTCCCGCCCGTGCAGGTGGAACTACAGTGATGAAAGAAAGCTGGTGCTTCAAGACATGGATATCAACGAGATGAAACGTCGCCGCTATGCAATTTGCTAGCTTTTGGCGCTTTTGACTGCAAAGTTGTGCGTGATCTGCTGCATGTCAAGCAGGGGATTGCGTCAGGAGCTATAGGGCCCTTAAGCTTGGGATGTAGTTAGGGGTCATATACAACACTTATGGGTTCAGCTTCTCTTTACATAGGCTCGGCAATCTTTATCTTGACGCAGGGGGCTTTGATCGCATGCAGTGTGCGTGCACGGCTTTCCAATTTGCTGCTTCGAAGACTAGCAGCTGGACTAATCTTGCAACTGGGGTTTCGAAAACTCTAGATCCGAACATCATCTGCCAGGTTTGAGAAAATGTGCCTGCAGTACGTTCCTCTTGCACTGCATTCAATTCGTGAACCGATTCTCGCACTCATACATAGCATGCTTGCCTGTCTTTGCACGTGTGCTGCTCACAGTATGTTCTTGTGTTGTACAACTAGTTGCACAAAGCATAGATTGCATCCTCATACATATAAGACCCCCGTTGTACAGCGATGAAGTTCACGCAGCTCCTTGTGGCCTTGGCGACGTTGAGGATGAGCCACTCGGCCAGTTTGAGCCATCGTCATTCCTCAGACAAGCAGGCTGCTATTCATCATGACAGGGCCTTCACGATCGGGCTCAGGTTTTGGCCCCCAGCCAAATGACTTGGACTTTTTGGAAGTCTTCGCAGGACTGATGACCACTGGCTTTATCGATCTAAACGGGGTTAAGCTGGATCGAGCTGCATATGTGCAGGAGAACACCTACTTTATTCCGCTTGCAAACTTTATGGACTGGCTGCCCACGGAGTTGATGAATCTTTACTGCCCATATAGTCTGAAGTGTGCGAACATACTTCAAAGATTCCGAATTGTGCCCCTCAGGTGACTTATTCCACCAAATTGAATATCTTATCAGCATTTGGCTTTTTGGTGTACCTGAACTTTGCAACTCGGTATGCAATTATGCCAGACCCAAACATGCAAGCCCAAACCTTGACTCACCGATCACGAATCTCCTGCAATATCCTTTTAACGGGGACATGATTCCCAACGTCGATCAAACCATATGCCGAATCGATCCTAAATTTGTACCTTCCACGGTAACCCATAATCCCAGGTTTCAACCCCATGTACTTTGTTATAAGAAACCAAAGCCCAACTTTGCTCTAGAGTGCAACCCAATTAGCCGGATCTCGGGTTTGGGGTTTCCATTTCGAATTCTGTGCGGATATATGCTGGATCGATCACTTAGGCCAGGAGGCTTCGTCCCGGGGGTGTCGCCTGGTATGCCGTTCCCTGCAGCAGCTGGGTGTTCATGAGTTTGGGCTGCATTAGTGACAGTGTGACTTCAAGATTAACTAGTAGATTCTTGTTTTGGTTGCATATTTCAGGTGCATGATCTTGGAATCTTAGGAGTAGGGGATCATCGAAGCGCCGCCGCTTGAACGTCGCAGGCAAAGTATAATGCTGGCCTAGAGCACATGGTAAACTCTCGCCTGTGAACATTCGCGCTGGACTTCGTCCTATGTTGGGCTTTGTGCAGGCGATGCCAAACGCATGAAGGTAAAGGATGCCAACCGGATAGCACGCCGGGTGGCCTACCTGTCGCTTGGATGCACATGACATGATGCTGCTCGACGACTCTAGCTGCTTTGAAGTTATTCATTCAATATTGAGTTCAGGATGGAGTACCAGCATCGATCTGGGTCGTTCTACATCATTGAAAATCCCACCGGATCCATGCTTTTCGAATACGCATGCATCAAAGTATCTCGGCTGATTCCGTGTGTTGATCCAGAAATTACGTACCCTCAAATTCAAATCCGACTCTGAACCCACGCCGTAACACCCGAACGTCATGCCCCCATATAAATTTCAGGCACGGTTGCGGGCCCATGGTGCGACGTCGATCAACCTCTGCCTGGGAGCACTCGGAGCTCCATCCAAGAAGTGTGTTACCTGAACTATATACAGAATATGCCTTAAGGCCTTAATGGTGTTCTTCAACATTCCCTCTATCGCAATAGTCGACTGGATCAGGTTACACTATGGGGCACTGCACCGTTTCTGTACGAGCTCTATGAACAGCTGACTGGATCAAGGAGGTGCCATCGACTTACATATTTCCGTGGCTATATGGGCCGATGGGTTTCGTATATAGTTGGGAATCTACGTGTGGGGTTTCCTTGGGTTATATATATATATATATATATAAATATATTTATCCATATATATATATATATATATATATATTTATATCTATATATATATATATATTCTATATGTATATATATATATATACATATATATATATATATATATATATATAGATTACAAGTAGAGTTTGTATTAAACTCACATACTTATATCATGCATGCATGCACACAATAGATCAACCCCCACACGTATATGGACATGTGTGTACATGTGTTGCCTAATTAAAAAACATCAGCCTTAATTAATACCTTGTTGCCACCATTTCTCACCTCAAGCTGGTTCAGGGTATATGAGCATGTGTTACTAGTACTTTGTTTCTGGTCTGGGTCCTTGGTATGTGTATAGATTACGCAAGCCATATGTCAATATGTAAATATATATATATATATATATATATATGTGTGTGTATGTGTTTTTGTGTGCATGTGTTATACATGTAGGCACACGTACCCTGAAACATATATGTAGTTCCCCCGAGTCAAATCAGGAACCAGCTGCGACGCATCCAGTCGTTCTTGAAGAAGGATATCAGCAGTGGCTATGTCGATCGGCACGGCCGTGCTCGTCGAGCTCCTTGTCGCTTATGTTAAGTTGTTTGCCTAGCCCGTCTTCGGCCTGTTTAAGTATACTTACAATAGCTTGAGGTGGGAGGGAAAGATCTGACGGCGACCGGTGTCTATCCTGGCACATTAGCACTGAAGGCCACTCGTCTCGTCCCAGAATCATATTGCCGGCACTAGGTAAGACCTCTATATGTGATTCACCCTATAATTAAATTACTGAGGTTGCTGGGCTCTTGCATGAACACTTCAAGATCCCACGAAGTAGGGTCGACGAGACGGATATGGAGCTGCACGATACCTCTGATGGTTGCAGCTCCGACTCCGGCCTTGAGGATTTGATTGGCATGTCTTCGTCGTGATCCAGGTAGCTGCCAATACCTTTGCAGCAGCTTGAATCAGGGGTCAGCTGCTTGTACGGACCAAATTAAGGTTTGATATTTCGACCGCAAGCCTCGAAACCGTGGCATGCTGTGTGTCTCTATACAGATCCGCTCGGAACCGTGCGCGGCAGCTAGCGTGTATCAGCGTGTATCCCCGTGTATTTGCAGGTAAGAACCAACGAATAGCGTGTATCAGCGTGTATCGGCTGTTAGATACTTAAGCACTTCGCACGCACCCCGAAGCATCACCGATCGAGTCGGATTAGAGCTATTTTAGCTTTAGATCGATCAGCCATGGGTCGTGGAGCCGGACCCAAAGGTAAAAGCTCGAAAGGGGCTGACGATCCGGCTGTTGCTGGTGTCGGGCCGATAGATGTGTCGGTAGAGACAGCGCCACGGCACTATACCTATGTGGGTAAGATGGATGGAAGCAGCGATGCTGCCCATGCCTGGCTTCTCTATAGCGGTTCTTTTTCTGTCTTTTTTTAGGTCGTTGTTTTGTATATAGACAACTAGAGCGCAGAAGGTGAAATATAGAATTTGGAAACCTGATTGTTCAACTTCATTCGCAGTAGAATCTCTGAGCTTTGTTTGAGCAGCCACCTTTTTTGAAGTGTTCAGAAACAAGTTATTGGTTGCACCATGGCAAGATTATTCTCCAAACTTTGCAGCCACGGTTCAGAAACATGGTTTTCATCATTTAATCAGAAATAGCAGGTCGCCCCCAGGTGTGTGCTGCACGGTTTAGAAATATGGCTTTGGTGGCTGAAACAGCCAAAAAAAACAGGTCGCACCCAGGTGCGTTCTGTTCCTGGCCACACAAATCTTTATATTGTGCAGGCACGGTTTAGAAATATGGCTTTGGTGGCTGAAACAGCAAAAAAAAACAGGTCGCACCCAGGTGCGTTCTGTTCCTGGCCACACAAATCTTTATATTGTGCAGGCACGGTTCAGAAACATGGTTTTGGTGGCTGAAATAGCCAAAAAAAACAGGTCGCACCCAGGTGCGTTCTGTTCGCGGCCACATGTTTCTTGATTTTGTTTTGCCTTTTCCAAGTACGACTTTGTTCCTAGACTGAATGACCTTAAACTCTTAAAGCACGAAGATGCATTATGCATTGTCCTGCCAGGCACAGGTATACCGGCCACAGAATTGCATGATGTATCGGCAGCCATCATGATGAGCAAACTTTAAACCCGAAGACTGAACACTACACCGCCTACGCCCTATAAGCCCTAAACGCCCGAACCCTAAACGCCCAAACCACTACTAAATCGACGGCTTCAGTGGGGTTGGGTTAGAGTACAGGCAGTCCTACTATATAGGGGTAACGCTTAAAGTCGTAGATAACTACATCAAATGGGGAAATAGCAAATGGACTGATGCAGTCCGGTAGGATGAATATAGATAGTTTAGGTTTGCGTAGCAAATGGGCTGATGCAGTCTGCTAGGTTTTGGCTAATGGGCTGATGCAGTCCGGTAGGTCTAGGCTAAGACATTCGTTTAAACCAAATGGACTGATGCAGTCCGGTAGGTATAGGCTTAGGACCTTCGATACATCTATGGTTTTTGACAAATGGACTGATGCAGTCCGGTAGGTATAAAGGGTTCCGGGTTAGGATTCGATATATCTACGGTTCATTACAAATGGACTGATGCAGTCCAGTATAGTCAGTATATAGAGTTAGCTTGCCGGTGCTTAGCTGTGTGCCTTTGTGTCTCGGGTTGGTGGGGGTGGGGTGGTGTGGGGGGTCGGTAGCTTGACTTGAAATCATATAGGTGTGTGGGGGCTGCGGGGACTTCCCACGGACAAAAAAAGGGGAGAAGCAGAGACAGAGAGAAAGAGAGAGAGAGAGAGAGAGAGAAGAGATAAAGAAAAAAACCGCAAAGTATTGCTTCTCAAATCCAACATCTTTGCCCGGACCATTGTCGTAGAGAACACGAAAAGAGGAAACATGAGCATTTCCCGAACCCACCACAAATCAAGAATGACTCCGGCGTTAAGAGATCGAAACTGCGCCCTTAAAGGCTCGGGGCTTGCGTTTTTTGGGGTTGGGTTCGTGACCCAGGCGCTTTAGGGATTGAGTGCTTTTTGTTTGGAGATTCAGGGTGTAGGGGGTTGGTACCTAGTGGCCTAGTGATCCATTAGTGATGCATGGTTTCATTATGATTGTGACCAGCCAAACAAAGACCCATCAGTACCCAGTGCATCTTGCAGAGCTTGCTGCAAGTTCCAGTTGGCGAGTCCTCGGCTGAGTGAATCCGCTTTTGTGGTGAGTCCAGAAACATATGACACGGCTGGGTATGAGTGTGCTGAATAACAAGCCTGTATTGAAGTACGTAGGTAGCCCCAAGGCGCTGAAAAAGCAGCCTGTAATAGAGCAAGTATAGGGCGCTGAACAAGCAGCCCGTGCTGGAGTCATGGGCGGGGCTCGTTTTCTGGTGCCCACATGAAACACGCCATACGCTAAGGATTTGAATCACTGCGCCACAGCGACTAGGCAGGCGCCTAGCATTTGCTGGAAGGGGCTCTTTCACTTGATGAACTAGTAAAGTCTCATCTGCTACAAAGTCTGGTTGCGCAGGGATTCTTTGGAAGGAGTATAGGTCCACATGCCGGGTCATCGTACTCAGGTGCTGAGCCACGCAAGAGGCGGCACGTTACTCAGTGGGCAGCCCTCAGTTGATGTTGGGATGGAAAAGGCGCTGAAGAAGCAGCCTCCAGGGCGCTGAAGAAGCAGCCCGAATAACAGGTTTCAGGCTGAGGATGGGATGGAAGGCGCTGAGTAAGCAGCCTCAGAGGGCTCTGAACAAGCAGCCCCCATGAAACAGGCTTGAAGCTCGTGACGGGATGGAAGGCGCTGAACAAGCAGCCTGAAAGGGCACTGATTAAGCAGCCCTGCTGGCCTCATACTGATCCAGTGAAATAGAATTGCCTCGTCGTTGGGGTTCAAAGGCGTGCGCCTGATCTCGGCCTTCCTGCGCCACGGCAATGGCCAGGAGCCCGGGCTTGGCCACGGTCAGATGCGAGCCGTTGTTGTTGCTGATGGCATGTTTGATTGAATCTTGGATTGATTCTGGGCCGCATGTTGTGGCTTAGTGCGCCGGAAGATCACACATGACATGAGGCCAGAAACAGCCTAGAGCATCATCAGGGCATCGAGCAGCCTAGAGCGGCAACCGGCAGACTGAAGCTTAGGGCACCAGCCACAGCACTTGCACCAGCAAAAGCACCGGCACCTGGCACCAGCCACAGCACTTGCAGCAGCACGGCACCAGCACAGCAACAGCACCAGCGACAGCACAAGCAGCAGCAACAGCGGCTCCGAAGCCATGGGGCGTTCGCGGAAAGACAACCATGGATCGTGGCAGGGGAGCGGAGAGCACAACCCCGCGAAGAGGAAGTTCAGAGGCTCCCGACTCTTGGTTCAAATTGGCTTCAACAACGACTCGACAATAAACACCAGTGCACAACGTACTGTTTGGATTTAAGGGAAGACACCTGCTCAGCGACTACGCCTCGCAGATCGCGCAGCGGATCGCGCGCAAGAGGCTGAAGAAGCGTGGCAGGACGGGGTGCCGGTTGTTAGAAGAGGGGAAGGGCGCTGAGCAAGCAGCCCACAAAAGGCGCTGAACAAGCAGCCTATATAACATAGAACCCAGGCTTGATGTGCAGGCGCTGAGTAAGCAGCCTGAGGGAAGGTTTCAGACCAAACCAACCCATGAGGAAGCCTGGGGCCGCGCGGAGATGCGAGCCGAGCAGGCGAGGCACGCTCACATGGCTGCGGAGGGGTTCTGCCGCAAGAGCCACACATCACAGGCAGACGAAGCGGCTGGAACAGCCGGCCGTGAGGCGAAGCGGAGCTCGGTGCAGCTCCACAATGAGAGAGTCGAGAACATGAAGCGCGAGGCCGGATGAATTGTGCGCACTGCCAAGGTAACGCCAGACAGCATGCCCTTTTCTCAGGAGCAGCACAAGGCGACTCTCAAGAAGATGGAGGCGCGACGAATTTTGCATTGCCAAGATGGCGCCAGACAGACTGCCCTGTTGTCAGGAGGAGAAGAGCCGCGAGTTGCTGAAACAGCAGGCCCGATGAAGCTGACTGCATTTGCGAGATCGCAGTAGACAGACGGCCCGTTCCCAGGAGAAGACGCAGCTGCAGCTGCAGCACCGCGACCAGGAATGGACGGCAGCTGTGAAGCACCGCGATGCATGGCACTTCGGGGTGCGGAAGTCCTTGAATGACGACCTCGAGGACGGACAGGACATTTAGTTCCATTAAGCTTTCTGAGTGACGCTGGCAGGAGTCGCAGTCGCAGCGGCGGATTTTGGCCGGGCGCTTGCAGGACGAGCAGGAGGCGGCTCGCAAGGACTGCCCTTTGCCAGCCTCTTGTGAAAGTTCTGACAGCCTTGAGCGCCAGGACAGAAAGGAAGCGCGGGCCGAATTGCTCAGCGAGCAGGCGAAAAACATCGCCTTGGAGGCGCGGTTAACTACAGCAGGTTACGCGGCACCACCCTGGAGCATTCTGCCAGGTGCAGATGATCGGCCGCAAGAGAGGCGGCGGTGGCGGCCGTGAGGGAGGCTCCGGCGGCTATGCCGGAGTTGGGGGTAGTAGTGCCAGCGGCAAACGCAGGTGACTGCAGGACAGTTTAATTTTCAGGGAGCCCAGTACGCCAATATGAGGATCCTGACTGTCGCTGTCGCACGAGGGGTGTAGCACACAGCACCAACAGCAACAGCACCAGCAACAGCAGCAGCAACAGCACCAGCCACAGCACCAGCAACAGCACCGGCACCAGCCACAGCACCAGCAACAGCAGCGGCAGCAGCCACGCCACCAGCAACAGCACCGGCATCAGCCACAGACAGTGGCTGCAACAGCCATGGGGCTTGGGCTTTCGGGTTTGCCGCGGATTAGCCGAGGTGGCTTAATTATATAGCATTTCGAGATGTCAATGCAAAGCTCCATGCGGGGG